TGTATTCCTATCCTAAGGCCTCGCCTGTCTTGGGCCTCGCCCCTATCCTGTTACTAGTGAGTCATGGAACCCGTCCAAGCTCCTACTATAAGTGAGATATCGGCCCCTGCCCACACTCACTCCATACCTATCTCGGGCCTTACCTCTGCTTGGCTACTAATGAGATATGGAACACCGTCCATACTCTGCTATTGGTGAGATACGGGACCTCGCACACACTCACCTACCTACCAGGCACATAAATGCATCACATAGACAACAAGTATTACTCAATCATGCAAAGCGCTCCTTGGGCGCCCACCCGACATTGGACCTTGGTCCTGAATATCATAATAGCGAATAGTGCCTAGGGCTAACCCCCGAGTCTTCCTACTCATAACTACATGGGCCGACATTGTGGTTGTAGACCCATTAACACAAGGGGAAACTTACCTGCACAGCTGAACTTTGCTGGTAACCCTTTGGCTGTTGTCCGACAATTCTCTGAACTGCTGCTCCACTAGCTCCCCGAGCTACCAATATCAATATATATCACTTAGATCCAAACTGAACTCTAGAAGATAACTAAGTCCACTCTTAACAAAGTCAAAGTCCTCATTAAAGTCAACCTTCCTGACTGACTCTACTCGCCGAGTCAACCCGTTGACTCGTCGAGTCCTTATACTCAGAAACTATCGCAATACGCCTCAACTCGCCGAGTCACCCAGTCAACTTGTCGAGTTCAACGATCTCTGAGTCCCATTCTATCCAACTCACTAAGTCACCACTCTACTCACTGATCTAAGTCTTAACCAGAAAAGGTTGAGGTTCTGAGATCCAACTCATCGAGTCCAAGAGCAGACTCGCCGAGTTCATGGCAATCTTCAACAGACTCGTCGAGTTGTTCTTTAACTCGTCGAGTTCCTGCCTATCTTCATACAACTCGTTGAGTCCAAGAACAGACTCACCGAGTAGCTTCAGTTTTTAATCCATACAGTGGCTTTTCGAGCCATGCAGGGGCTCCTAATTGTAGATCCACTCTTCTAAGGGCCATCCTTCACATAAAGTCACAAACTTTACGTGAAACCAAGGAGCTATAGGCTTAAAACACTCTAGGGCTAGGGTTTGAGACAAGCTAGCTTCACCAATAAAACAAAGACTGATACTTTATGGGTTTCTGGTCCAAGAAAACCCTAGATTCGAAGTTCTCTTTGCTCATAAATACACAATACACGAATTGACCTTGGAAATGGCCCAAAATGATAAAATCTAACTATGAAAGGGATCTCAATGAATATCAGCCAAGGTATGAGCTCCATGCCTTCTAATGATCTGAAATAGCACACTAACTTAGAGCCCACTTCCACTTCTTGAATCACCTAAGGTTCCTTTCTTCCTTTTTGCTTCTAAGCACCCGAATGGCAAAGAAAGCTTGAGAGTACAACAATGGAGGCTTAGGGTTTCAAGGGAGGTAAAGGGAGTGATGGAGGTTGGGGTGAAGACATGAAATGATGCATAAATAAGGCACCAAGCCCAGAAATCAGGGTTTCCCAACCCAATCCTGACTCGCCGAGTCAGTCCCTCCGACTCACCGAGTCGGTCACTTAAATACCGACACAGAACCAGCTCCAACTCTCCGATTTCACCTATGGACTCGACGAGTTGACCGCTATGACTTAGGGTTTTCCTTTCCTTTCATGGTCTTTCTAATTCTGAGTGTTACACTTACCTGTTTCAAAATCGATTTCAACCTCTTATGTACCCTCTTCTTGTCGCCTGTAAGTCAATAAGCAATTTGAGGAAGTCTGCAACTCAGGAAGTGGTTGACAAAGTGAGGCAACACAGTGGTCTATTGGTTGATCAGGTGAAATAATAACTTATTTCATGCATATTTTTTAATGTCAATAAAGTGAAATTGTCGGGATAAATGCAAATCACAACAATGTAATGGGTTTGTTGGTTTTCTTTTTTTATTTGAACAGCCAGACACTCTCCTGCAAATTCAAATGGAAGACGAAACAGCCAAGGTGTATCCTTTGCTGCCCTTAAGGACATTCTCATACATACCATGTGCATTATTAATTAGTTTATATTGATATTGTACAACTGACATGATTATTGTGTAGGATTTCCGTGTTGTTTTTGATCAAGAGTTGGGATTGATATTGAAGCTAAGAGACATGATGATTGGTTGGATACATGAAGAGTTTCAGAGCTTCCTTAGACATCTTAATGATGAGTTACTGAAACAAGAAGGTGACCCTTTATAGTAATGTAGTATTAGGTTATATAGTTAGGGAAAACCTCTTAATAACAATGTACAATCAGATACCTTTAATATCAATGTAGTACGATTTTTTTGACATGATGCTATTGGATGAAATTGATTGTTTTGGTATATATATATATATATATATATATATATATATATATATATATATATATATATTATATTTTTATATTATGCATAAATGAGTATCGTAAAGGCACGTTGTATATGCATATTGTAAATGGTTGTTGAGGTTTATGACATGCAAATGCGTGTCATCTTCATTTATGATAGAGGCCATAATGATACGTAATGCGTGTCCTAAATGCGGGTCATAAGGTTACAACACGCAAATGTCTTTCGTCTTCCGTTATGACAGGACCTTCCTTTATACGCATTGTGTGTCGTAAATGAGCATCCTAAATGTATGTCATAACTGTGTGTCGTAAATGTGTGTTGTCTATAGACAACCCGCAAAAGCGTGTCATCTCTCGTTATGACAGGGCCTTCCTTGACACGCATTTGCGCGTCGTCTGATCGTTTTACGACACACATTGCGCATCGTAAAAGGCTATTTTTCTAGTAGTGCCCTCTAGCACATATTAAAATATTTTTTGCTTTGGGCCACCTGACATGAAAACTTCCACATGGGTCACCCATTCTATATTTTCTCTTTTTTGTGCACATTTAATCGTGGAGTTCTTACAGGATCTACTGTCCTCACAACTTTAAAATATGTTGTGACAAGGAAGGCATCCACACCCCTTATAAATAATTGTTAGTCTCATTTGTAGTCAATTTAAAGGTCATGAAGCTGAGTAGCTACATGCAACTTATTTCACATCTTTTGGGAGGGAAAACTAAGCATTCCTTATAAGTGGTGTGGGTATATTCCTTATCGCAACCTGTTTTGAAACTATGAAGGCATAAATCCCTTAGAGCTTTGTAGTTAAGCATGGTTAGGTGAGAGAAATTTCAGGATTGGTGACCCACCGAAGTTTCATATCAGGTCTTCCAAAATTAACAATATTGTGATACGTGCTAGGGATGTTATATAAGAATACTAATCACATATAATGTTAATGTAATTTTTATAAATACAAAATGATTAAAACCGTTGAAGAATAAAGTATCATTTACTTTTATTAAATACGATCTCGGTATGTAAAGTCAATAAATATACACCAATAAAAAAATATTAAATATCTTTTATATATATTTAACAATTTAATGTATATTATATTGGTTGTCAATATTCAGTTCCATAAATACGGTTAATAAATAAATATTGTATATTATACGAATACTTAACTAGATTACTATAATGTTATTACATTAGAAAAATAGTAATGGACACATTAATATTTATAGGGGAAAGAGTGTACTTCAAAATTATACACCTTAAAATAAACTGGAGTTGTTGCCATCTGAGCAACAACTCGGCATGGAAGATATTTGCAACACAGATTTTGCAAAAGGGCTAGCCCAAATTCTGTTTTACTTCAGTGAAATCTCACCGGACATGGAGTTACCTCCATATCAAAAAAAACGTCGGACACAACCTCTTTCTCCACCACCTTCTCCTTCACCGCCGTTATCTCCTTCACCATCACCTCCTCATTCACCAATTCAACTTCCTTCATCGTTACTACCTTCCTCTGCACCACCTTCCCTTCCAAAAGAAAATTTGGAGATTGATTTTGCCAAAGAATTTGAAAATATCCCGTTATGTATCATTGATCGCAATGAAATTTCAACTCAACCATCAACACCAAAAGGTTTGTCTTTGTCACAAGATTTGTAGCCGAGTGCGCTGTTGGCTCGATCATGTATGCTATGACTTGTACCCGCCCTGATGTGGCCTTTGCTTTGAGCATGGTCAGTAGGTATCAGGGGAACCCTGGTAAAGCTCATTGGACTACGCTAAAGAACATTCTCAAGTACCTGCGGAGGAATATGGATTGGATCCTTACCCTTGGTGGGAGTGATGACTTGAGAGTATTAGGGTATAGTGATGCTAGTTTTCAGACTGATAGGGATAATTTCCGCTCTTAGTCGGGCTGGGTCTTTACCTTAAATGGAAGGGCAATCTCTTAGAAGAGTTCCAAGCAGGAGACGGTGGCTGATTCGACTTATGAATCAGAGTATATAGCAGCGAGTGAAGCAGTGAAGGAGGCGATATGGCTGAAGAACTTCATTGGAGACCTTAGAGTTGTGCCAGCTATTAAGGAGCCTATGGAAATTTTCTGTGACAACAATAGTGCGGTTGCTTTAGCTAAAGAACCGAGAGATCATGGGAGATCCCGACACATTGACAGAAAATATCACTTCATAAGACACAAGATAGAAGAAGGACTCCTCGTGGAAAAGAGGATATCGTCAGATGAGAACCCTACGGATCCCCTTACAAAGGGACTGACGAGGGCTAAGCATTTTCAGCATGCGAGGCGCATCGGGCTGAGGGACGATATTAGTTTTACAGATTAGATAGATTCTCTGAAACTTGTAAAATGTAATCGAAATTTGATGATGAATAAAATTGTGATTTATTTATGAGTAAGGAGTTGCTATCATTGTCAATTATTTACAATTGTTTCAGCTTTGCATGTTTTGACTTCCAGAATAATTAATTTATTCAAACCTCCACAATTGGTCATACATCGAAAGTAGGTATGAATCAAGATTGTCATGAATTGGGTTTGTAGATGGCTAAAGGTGTTTAGACATGGCAATGGTTGCTACAATGTTCATGAGTACTCATAAGTTATGAGTATTGGAATAAACCCACGCTCACTTGTATCACTTCATGGAATTTATCTCGAGTGATCGTGAGACGGTAATATCATATAAGTCTTCAAACCTAGAGATATGAGTTGTTACCTATGAGTTGGTTGTGCATTGATTGCACGTAAACACATCAGTAACTTGATGTTATAAAACGTGCCTTTGTGTACAATTCAACAAGTAGTAGAACAAGTATATGAGTCGAAGTTTATCTGTTCCTTCTAGAAATAGAAGCGATATTTGGGCCCCTCGATGATTTTGTGTTGACCCATGTACCGGGCCCGGTCAGAACTAAATTGATGTGTTCAGTTGAGTTCTTTGTCAAACAAATCGGAAATCGAGAAACAACTGCCAGACAATAAGCAAGACATAGTTCCATGTGTTTGTCCGGCTGATATCATGAGAACAGAGGATTATATGATCACTTATCTTAAAATGGCGCTTCATAGTTCAACAGAGTTTTCGAGAGCTACGATTGCTGGTTGGTTCCTGAAGTAATAGGCAAATACAGTTATTAGACTTATCCAAGTGGGATTCTGTTGGATAAGGTGTCTAAGTCCATAACTTATTTGGTATATACTTGACCCGACCGGCATGGTCCATTTGGGTTGCATTTCATCCAAACTATTTATGGATAATTTTATGAGAGTTATACACATATTATTATTAATATATTATAAGTTATAATATATTAATATGAAGTCATGTTATTTAATTAGTCTTAGTCTTAAATTAATTATGAATTAATTTAGAGATTCAAAGGAAGACTAATTAGATTGTGGGCTATTGATTTTATATGGTGTGGGCTAACACCCATTTGTTAATGGGCTAGGCTTGTATGGAAGTCCATGGAGCTTTTAACCCATGAATCCTTGGAAAAGGAAAGGTCATGGGTTATTAGGGTTTCACCCTAATCATGTACACTATATAAACATGCTTATGTTGCATGAAATAGCCACTAGTGTGTGTGTGGTTGTGTGTGGCTGAAAATTGTAGTGTATACACTCTCTCAAAGTTTCCAAGAGTTTGTGGTGATTTGTGATTCCATTTGAGGCATTCACACTATTGGTGCTTGGCCCTCAAACTCCTTAAGAATCAAACTCATCAAAAATGTATGTAATCTCATCTAACTCTTTTATGTTTAAAAGTACCCCATGCCATGTTAGATAGGTTATGAACCTTGGAAAATTATTATTTTGCATGTATTTAGACAAACATAGATCCAAGGTTTATTAGGGTTGCATGCACACTTAGGAAGTGTTAGATTGCTCAAAACCCAACAGGAAGACCAAGAGGTGGCTCTTGGCACTTGTCTATAAGACCAAGGGGAGGCCCCCGGCTTAGAAAGAAAGACCATGTAGTGGCCCGTGGCATAATGGCAAGACTATGTTTGGCACATAGCAACTTTATTGAATATGATATATGTATGGCTCATGGTTATGTATGATAGTATGCGAGTATGTTTTTATATGCTAGACAGTATCCGGTTGAAAGAGACCGAAGGGGTAGGCCAACACCCAGATATGATAGACAGTATGTTGATATGGATGGTATGTGGTATTTGGGGAACTCACAAAGCTTCGTGGTTACGGTTTACTGTTTTGGTTTCAAGTACTCTTATTTTAAAGGAAGGGAGCCGGCTTGATCGCAGCGCATCACACTATAGTTTCCGTACATGAGATCTTTGGGATTACACTCTGATATTGTTTTATAATAACATGTTTTGATTATTTCTACTTTGGTTTTGACATGACATGATATTATGGATGTTTTACTATATTGTTGGTTTTATAATAATGTATTTAAAAATGAAATTTTTGACCTGTATTTTTGGGATGTTACAATTTTCCGCATTGATCTATTTTGATACTCTAATATTTGATACAATATGATGTATTGAATTTTTAGTAACAATTATCATTGTATTCTTTTTTCAAAAATGAAAACTTTTATCTAGTTTTTGGGTTGTTACACACATGAGCTGTCACTCAACAGAAAGTGGTTGGTCAAGGGCTCGTTGCAGCTATTGGTTTCTTTTGGGGGTGCCAATGAATATATGAGGATTCGTTGGGATCACTCAAGTTGAGTATTGGTTGGTACGGAATTTGTCAGTTCGTTGAATGGATTTCTAATTATAGTCTAGCTTGGGCAGAGGTCGATCAGGGAATCCGTTTTAGAATTGGGTACATCCATCTCCGCACGGGTTTTGGTTCATTA